TTTCTTTCTTTCTTTCTTTCTTTCTTTCTTTCTTTCTTTCTTTCTTTCTTTCTTTCTTTCTTTCTTTCTTTCTTTCTTTCTTTCTTTCTTTCTTTACTTCACAGAACAGCAGATGGCACAAGGCTCCCCACATGTTTGTTAGCTTAGTATATTCTTAGGGTTATATTCCCACAACCATTATTATTTTTTTTAAAGATTTATTTATTATGTATACAGCATGTATAACTGCAGGCCAGAAGAGGGCACCAGATCTGATTACGGATGGTTGTGAGAATTGAACTCAGGACCTCAGGTTGCTGGGAATTGAACTCAGGACCTCTGGAAGAGCAGCCAGTGCTCTTAACCTCTGAGCCATCTCTCTAGCCCCTACACAACCATTATTAAATAACTACTCAAACCTCACTTTCCTCACCTGTAAAAATAGACATTTTTACCTGTTTTGGTGCAAATGTAATAACAAGTTACTTCCCATGCTGAGCCCCATAAACGTTAGTTTTGCTTCCGTCCCCTTTTAGCTCTCTGACTTTCTTCCTTCACTTTGCTACCCCGAGTCTCAGTTTCTTTGCATGCAAATGGGCACAAAATAACTGTATTTACTTCCCAGAGGTGGGGACAGTCTATGAGATCGTGCTTGGCTTGTGATAACCGCCAAACATGTGCTTGCGTGCTGCCGGCATTATTCCTGTGGTGCTTATTAGCCCTAACTACCACACTAGCTGTGTGACTCTAGATAAGTTCCTTTGCCTCTCTGAGGCTGAGCCCCCACAGGCTGTGTGTGTAGGGGGTGGGTCATACCTGACCCAGCTTTGCTACCCGAGGGCTTTGTTCATGTCAGCTGTTTCCTGGCAATTCCTTTTCCTTCTCCATACCCTTGCCCTCCTTCTCTGTTCCAGGGTCTCAAGGTCTTGGCCTTAGGGGCTGGAAGAACAAAGCACTCCCAGGTGGTGCTGGACTAGGGATGCCAGGAGCCAAGGGGAGCCAGGGCTTACCAATGAGAAGGAACTTGCGCCGGTCCCCATAGAGTTTCTGCAGGCCTGCACAGAAGTCCTGGATAGGCAGCCCCAGGCGATAGTCTCGTAACAGTATTGCAAACTGCTGGATCTCAGGGGGACCCAGCTTACTCCGCAGCTGTGGGAATAAGGAATGTGTTGTCGAATGATCTTTTTGTACACTGTGAAGATGTGTCACTCTGACTGGTTTAATAAAAGGCTTAACTGGCCAATAGCTGGGCAGGATTTCCAGGCAGAGAGGATGCTGGGAAGAAGAAGGTGGAGATACTAGGAGATGGCAGAGCAAGTAGGATGGGCAGTATGGAGATGAGGTAATAAAGCCAGGAGGCAGAAAGTAAATTAATAGAAGTGGCTTAATTTAAGTTATAAGAGCTAGTTAGAAACAAGCCTAAGCTATAGGCCAAGCTTTCATAATTAATAATAAGTCTCTGTGTTGTTTTTTGGGAACTGGCAGCCCAAAGAAAAATCTGTCTTCAGGGACGCCCTTGGAGACCAGTCCCAGAGTGCAATAAAACTTGATTCCTGCTAAAAATGCTGGGGTTCTCTCCAACAGCCTGCCCGGCCTAGTCTGCCTCCAAAACCTTCCATTGCCCACTGGGGGAATATCTGGTCCTAGGAATGGGATGTGGGTCCAGCTTCCTAAGCCCAACCCTTTGGTGACCACCTCTGTGGTGTCAGGAGGTCACTACCTCTCTGATCCTTGCCTTTCCTCCTCTGCACCTGTGGTGAGAAGGGATCTCCCACCTCCTCGGGGTTGTTGAAAAGATAAAAGACATGATGTCTGAACAGGCTTGGAACATTCAGTGCTGGCTGATGTCAGTCAAGGCTTTTCTAAGCTGGCCTCTCCCGATCCCATCTCCCTCCCTGGCCTCTGAGCTGTCACATAAGACTCCTGCAATGCACCATGCTTGAGGCGGAGCACTGCCACCCCACTCACCGTGACCATGTAATCCTGCAGCTGCTCGAAGGCCCAGCTGCTGTGGTCAATACTGCTGCAGTGGGAGCCGTGGAAAGACGGGGTGGATGCGCCACTGTAACATGCTTCAAATGTGTCCTGGGAGCCATTGCTGCAGAGACAAGAGGAAAAGACCCTCATCAGCCTCCGTCCCTTTCCTTGAAGTTGGTTGGTCCTATGTACCAGTGCTCAAAGCCCCATCCTAGGCCTCACCTTCCCCTCCAAGGCTCTTCATGAGGCCCAGCTACCTTTCAAGTCCTCTCCTGCCCTCAGAACTCAGATCACACTGCCTTCCTCACCTCATCCCGGGCCTTTGCTCATGATGTTCCCTGGAATCTCCTCCTCACTTTCGCTCTCATATCTAGTGTTACAGTCACAGGGTCCCTACCTGCTTGTTCTGAATCCTTGCTGTTCCTGCGTGGCTGTGTTCATTCTCTGTGTGGATGCCCTGTCCCTTTTATCCCCAGCTCAACTATCATCAGTTTGGGGAAGCCCTTCTGGTTCCTAAATAAAGTACCCTTTCTGACTCCCATAGGCCAGGAAGCGTCTCTTCAGTGTGGTATCATCAATGCTGGCTGAATCTTGTGCTAAATTGTGTGGCTCTTGCTTTCTCCTTACGTCCTTTCTGTAAACCAGGCTGCCTAGCTCATCGTGGAGGGTTCTGTTTTATTTTTGACAGGGTCTCACATATCCTATGTAGCTAAAATTAGCCTTGAACTTTTGATCCTCCTGCCTCTTCCTCCCAAATGCTGGGATTACAGGCGTGAACTACCAAGCCTGGTTTATGCGATGATGGGGGTTGGAACCAGGGCTTCTGATGTGCTAGGCAAACACTCAACTCAGGTGCACCCCCAGCCTCATGTAGGAAGTTCTCTTTATTAACTGCTTTTAAAATAAGATGTCTACCCTGGGCTCCTGCCTTGCTTGGTTTTTAACTTGTTTCAGAATCACTTTCTTTTTTTCTTTTTCTTCTTTTTTTTTGTTTTTGTTTTTTTTTTTTGTTTTTGTTTTTGTTTTTGTTTTTTGAGACAGGGTTTCTCTGTGTAGCTTTGCACCTTTCCTGGAACTTGCTTTGTAGACCAGGCTGGCCTCAAACTCACAGAGATCTGCCTGCCTCTGCCTCCTGAGTGCTGGGGTTAAAGCTGTGCTCCACCACCGCCCAGCCAGAATCACTTTCTGTTATTATATACAGGACAGCATAGCTTCCTGGCCAAGACTGTGTATTTCTTTTGCTTGTTATTTGAGTCATGGTCTCATGTTGCCCAGGCTAGCCTCAAACTCACTATGTAACTGAAGCAGGCTTTGAACTTCGGATCCTTTGGCTTTCACCTCCCAAGTGCTGGGTCTAGAGACTTGGCAAGGGTGCAGACTCCTGAGTTCACATCCCAGCTTACTTGTGCTAGAAGCCTAAGTCTATGAAGTTTGTTGCCTGTTTGACCCTTGCAATGCTAAACATTGTTTCCCTAGTCCTCAGCTTTTCCATCTGTAAAATGGGAGGCTGAAGACTGGTGTCACTGTGAAATGACAGGAACTAATATTTGTAAAGCACTTCAGGTCATAGACCCTTTGAAATAGATAACTAGCCACATAGGTGCTAACAAAAGTCAGTGGCGCACTTTATGGCATACAGCAAGATCAGCAAATGTGTCCTTAGTGTGATTTTGCTCTCCTTGGTCAAGTCAGGTTAGCTATGGACTAGTCTATGTGCACACAGGCTTAGGGAGGCAAATGTAGTGCCAGTGTTAACGATAGTGTAGATAGGGCATACTGCTTGTCCACACTAGCGTCCTTAATAACAGGACCTATTACTATAGGTCTGCTCAGGACTTTATTGAATTTAAACTAAAAATCCCATATCTTGTGAAACTCCTCTATGTTGAACAAACTGGGATAGGCAATATTCTTAACAGAATTCCTTAAAAAAATTTTTTTGAGGCAGGTTTCATGTACCCCAGGTTGGTCTGGAATTCACTATGTAGCCAAGGGTAACCCTGAACTTCCGATTCTCTTGCTCCCACCTTCCCAGTACAGAGGTTACAGGTGTGCATCATTTTATGTAGTGTTAGGGATCGGACCAGGGCTTTGTGCATAGCTAGGGAAGGTCTTACTCTACCAACTGAGATACAACCCCAGCACCCAGAAAGCTGTTTTAGCCTACATTTTCCAGCCTGGCTTACAGCAGCTAGTTCTGACCAAGTGGCCAAATTCTGACTACTAAATGTAAGCTAGATAGGACGTGTGCGTGTGCGTGTGCGTGTGCGTGTGCGTGTGCGTGTGCGTGTGCGTGTGCGTGTGCGTGTGCGTGTGTGTGTGTGTGTGTGTTTTGCTAGGGATGGAACCCAGGGTCTTTTGCATGGCAATGCTGAAGTACTCCCTGGCCTCCACCCTCCCTAGAGAGGCTCTTGGCTGCTGCCGCATGGCTGCAACTACAGCTTAGACCATGAGGTTACTCTGAGGATGGTGAAGAGGAAGCTGTGACCGGAAGAGAAGCTTGGGGCCCAGAGGACCAGGAAGCCCCGAACTCTTGTTATACTTTATGTAAAAAGACAAGAAAACCAATCTTGTCTTTTTAAACCCACCCTCCTCAGGGTTTTCTGTTATACAGAGCCAACACTACAGTCAACCAACATTGTTTCCAGCATTAGCTGTAGCTTTGGACTCTGCAGGCCACTAAACCTAGGCGATCTGAAGATCTCTGTGCCAGATCTGAGTTCTGGCATTTCTAGGTCTCTCGTGGTTTATCCTGGAGCTCTGCTTACATCCCACCCTCAACGCAAATCAGGGTTGGGTCCCTTTCCCCCACACACTCTAGAGGAATGGCCCTGTTTTGGGTAGGGGTGAGGAGGAGAAAACCGGCATCCCCGACAAAGGTGATACCCACAAGGAGCTGCAGCAGCTCAGGTCGGCGTCGTAGGCAAACGTCCCATCTGTGCGGCAGCTCTCACCTGGGACCAGCAGACAGAAGAAGTGTCAGAAGTGACATGCAGGGTGACATCTTAGGCTCCCTGAAGCCCCAACCTTAGTGGTACCCTGGGATCTAGCTCTGGTCCAGCCCTGACACACAGCCAACTGTGGGCAACAATCTCCCTGATCCTCATCTTCCTCAGTGCCCAGGCGCGTAGCATCTGCCTTTTTGATGGGATGGGGGGAACGGCAAATGAGAGCCAATGGGGAAGTGTTGGTAAGTGTGTGTTTAGGTGAGTCAGGAAGATTCTGCAAGGGGGAAGAGGACTGGAGTGTGAAAGGAAAACAGTAGCATTTGTGGAGAATGTGCCTCCTCCTCAGTCTGCCCTTCATCTGTCCAGGCATGGCCTTCTCATCCCAGATCACTCGAGGTCAATCGGTCACCCTGAATTCTTAGAGGCCATTTCCTCATTACAGGTTTTCAAAACACTGTCTGTGGTTAGACATTTATCTGTGTGACTATTCCATGCAACTTGCAGGAAGGTGTGGCCATGCCTCAGTTTACCCACCATCAGTATATCTTGCAGATTGCAACTGGGCCCGAGACAGTCAGTGCTCAGCAAATATCTGTTGAATGAATGAATTGTCGGCTACCAGATGAGTGCTCTCATTCATTCACTCAGCATCCTGGTGGGATCTGATGAGATAGCCCAGCTTCGCAGCAGGCACAGCTCCTGTGGGTAGGAGGGCCTTCAGAAGGCCAGTGCCCCAGGTGCTGGAGCTGTGCAAACAGAGACCACCCTGTAGCAGGCTGTGGAGGGGGGATTCACTCAGTGACCTAGCACACAGAGGCAGGCTGTTGCAGGTAGAAGCTGTGGAACTAGACAGATTAGGTTTGGCTTCTGACTCTGACTTACTGACTGTACCACCTGTGACAATTTATTGACTACTCTGAGACTCGGTGTTTTTTTTTTTTTTTTTTTTAAATTGTAAAACTGATCCGCAGGGCCTCAGAAAGGCTCCTTGCCCCTTTTTTTCCTTTTGAGACAGGGTCTCACTTTGTAGTCCTAGCTAGTCTGGAACCTGTTATGTCGGCCAGGCTGGTTTTTAACGCACAGAGATCTTCCTGCCTCTGCCTCCCAAGTGCTGAGATCAATGACGTGCACCACCACTATGCCTAGATCTTTTCCTTTTTTAAGACAAGGCTTTTCCATTGTAGCTCAGGCTGACCTTAAACTGATCCTCGTGCCTCAGCTTCCCAAGAGCTCAGGACTATTGGCATATGCCATCGTGTCTAGCTCTGAGAGGTTTTAAATTTTTTTAATTACACAAAATTATTTATTTCGTGTATTTGTGCTTGGGCTTGAGCTTGCATATGCCATGGTGCCCATGTGGAGGTGAGAGGACAACTTTGGGGACTCAGTTTCTTCTTCCAGCCTGTGAGTCCTGAGGATTGAACTCAGGTTATCAAGCTTAGCTGCAGACACCCTTCCCCACTGAGCCTTCTCACCAGCCCAGGCTCTGAGCATTTTTCACTTATCCGAAGACTACCTGCCTATCATCTGTGGTGTGCCCAGTCCTGTGCTAGGTGAATGAGACAAGTAAGTTGCATGAAGATTCAAGAAGACTTGGCACCTCGCTATTGTGCTTGGCACCTAACTGGCACTCAATAAATGCCCATTAGCCTCACTTTAACTTCAGCCCTTGACTGCATATATGGACTAATCCAGCAATGTTAGCCTAGGAGCCTCATGGGGTGGATGGCGCAGTTAGCAGACAATACACGAGTGTAACTTTCTGCAAAGCAGGGACACCCAACACAAGAGAGGAGTTTCAAGTGCCCACGTTCATACTCATCCCAAACTTGACAACCTGATCATCTCTTAAAAGGTCATCTTGAAGACTGATATTCTATTAAGTGGACCCCTAGAACTGGGGAACAGCTCAGAACCCCTAAAGACCTTTATCAGCCCCGACTCTCAGGACATCCAGCCTTTCTGGGTGCTTTCTGGGAGTTGAGGTACTCACTGCAGCTGGAGAGCCATGGCCGCCTTGGCGTGGATCTGTAATGGTAGCCGGCCCGGTCTACACACTCGATGCTCTGGTCCCCATAGATGATCTGGAAGACTTGACAGATGAGTGCGCAGGACTCCTCAGCAGCATCCTGGTCCAGGGGGAGGAAGAGAGCTCAGCTCTTAGCCACTATCAGGGCACCTCTGCGTCCCCAGATGCAGTGGGAGCCAGTACTGAGACAAACCCCTTGGACCCCCTTAAGCAAATTTCAAAGACATTTCCCCTCAAAAGTATATGGCTCCTCTCCTGTTCTTATGATCTTTCATAGAACCCAGAGGCAACTCTGACTCCTGTGCCATGAAAATGCATTCCAGACTTCCAGGGGATTCTTGGCCTATCATGAACTTTATCTAACATAAGGGCTCCTTTAACTTACTGTACAGATGCATGAGCTGAAGCCCAGTAAGAAGATGGGATTAGGAGGAGGAGGGACACTTCAAAACCTTAGGCTCAGTGCTGTTAATGCTATTGGACACAATGTACAGCTGTGGGCTCCCTGGTGCCCAATGCAATAGTGGAAGCGATGTAATAACAGTAGTCTCTGTAGAAGGAAGAGGCTTGGGCAAGGCTTTGGAGACTGTACATTCGAGGAGGAAGTCACCTCTTCCAGCGAGACACAGAATAACTGCCAGTTCTTCTGCAATAACTATTTGAAACAATAACTGATTGAAAAAGATCATGCTTATGAATATACTGCCTCTAAAAAAGCCTAAGGTAAAAATTAAAATGTAATTCAGGATGGGTATCTGTGCTTGTAGCAGGTACTGATATTTACACCAGGGTGGATGCTTGCCATGACCCTAGAGTAGACAGGTCAGAGAGGACCCTCATTTATAGTTAAGGCTAGCACCGGGCGTTTTAGCTCTGACTGGTGTGCTTGGGACCACTGTACTTCAGACAGGAGGCCAGAAGCTCAGAGCCCTGGAAAGCAACTCATTTACTTATTCAACCACCAGGCCAGGACCGAAGCGTTAAAGCTGCCACACTTGAGTGGGATAGCCAACACACGTGGTTGCCTCTGTCTGGTGCTCAATTTGCAGGCCCTTGGTTTGACTGACTGTTTCTCCTCCTTGCTTCATTTTAAACAAAGCAAACTAAGTTTCCCTGTTGAAGCAGATCTCTTCCTCCATTCCCTAGCACATGGGCTGCTCAATTCCTTTCTGAGCCAGCCTGACCCATTGACCCTAGCTTTTCTGTCTATGTGTCTGTCCTTTTTCATTTCCTCGTCACCCTAGTCAAGTTTCCAGGATGAAGTTGTGTTGGATGAGGCAGTAGAGTACAGAATATAAGAAAGGGCTGAGCCAATGGGGTAGAGCATGATGACATTATCCCAGCGAGAGGAGATGGAGCTGGCTATGGACAGTACAGGGCATAGGATTTGCATGTATTTAAACATAAGGTCAGTGAGATCTATTGACAGAATAGATTGTGTGTGCGCGCTTGTGTGTGTGTGTGTGTGTGTGTGTGTGTGTGTGTGTGTATAAGACAGAGGTAGAGACAGAGGCAGAGACAGAGAAAGAGAAAGAGAGACAGACAAACCAAGACCCACTACAAGGTTTCAGCCCGAGCCACCAAGGATGGAGCTGCCATTCAATGAAACAAGGAGATGAAGGTGATTTCGGGTTTGGGAGGAGACTGGGAGCTCAATTGGACAAATTCATGCTGCAATGACAAGCAGACCTGGAAAAGACAAGATGAGCGGAGATTTGGTTAGAGATGAAATAATTCAGGGTGTTCTCCGGGTTTTAGAAGGCAGCAGAGTCAACATCACCTAGAACAAGTGTGGATAAAGGAGAGAAGACTGAGGATAACATCTAGACAACCCCTACTTTAAGAGGCTGGAGAGAAAAGGAGGTACCAGCTTTCAAGCAGGAGTGTGGCGTGGGGGTTGGGACAAACCAGAGAAGGAGCCCTAGATGTCAAGTGAGAAAGTATCTCAGGGTGGAAGCCTGAGCTACAGTGCTGTGTTCCAGGCATTGGCCGCCTCTCCCTGCACACAAGCACACTCGTTGTTGAGAGAGAGAGAGCGAGCCCAGGGCCCTGGGGTAGAGGAGGGGTTTGGAAGGCTTGCTGGACTGGGTACTCCTCTAGGGAGGACACCAAATGGCTTGCTCACCTCCATACACACAACACCTGGCCCAGTGTGGATCACACAGCTGGCACTCAATAAATACCATGAAGCCAGCCAGGCAGTGGTGACGAAGGCCTCAGGAGGCAGAGACAGGCGGATCTCTGTGAGTTCGAGGCCAGTCGGATCTACAGAGCGAGCTTCAGGACAGCTAGGGCTACACACAGAGAAGCAGTGTATATTCAAGTGAGTGAGAGCAAAGGTGAATGGGGACAGAGAGGTGACAGGCAGGGCAGGCAAGAATGAAGGTAAGGCTTCTTCTGCCTTAGGTGGCTACCTTAGTTACCAAGAGTAAGGCTTTGAATTTCCCGGGTTCGAAACTTTAAGCCTATGTCCTTCCTTAAGGAATGGGAATAGGTGCGATATTTGCCCTAGGGGCTGCTGTGGGGATTAAGTGTTAATGTTGACCCAAGGTGCTTCACGTGTGTGGTGGGATTAGTGCGATTGTGACTGTCAGGGCGGTGGCGCCAACACTGCCTCGCGCTCACCCTGTTGGCCACAGCTAGGATGACCAGGTTGCAGTAGGCGTCGGGGCTGGGGTTCTGGGGATCCAGCGGGTTGGGGCCGGGGTG